TTTTCATCTGTCAAATTCAAAAATGTATGTTTATAAGCTTTTTAAAATTTCTATTTAAAACTATATAACAATATGTAGAATAAGACAAATAAGTTACCAATCATATGAATTAGTATTAATAAATTAATTTATACTACAGAGGAGGCACAAAAGAACACAAAAGGTACATTTTCAGACGTTTAATGAGGCTCAGAGGTGGCATGAGTGCAATTAAATTAATAAATTCATGTGGAGATTAATGTTTTAAATATAAAATGTTGAATACAGAAATATGATTTGAATAACTGAAATTATAGGCTAAAAATTAAACTAAATCCTCCAGCAGGTGGCGGCAAGTCACTGATTTTATCACTGAATCATTCATTCAATTGATTCGTTTGAACGGCCGATTCATTATCCGTGTCGTAACGATGGAACTTTAATCCCTGTATATTTTTTATATATATATATATGTGTGTGTATATTAGACTTGTGCCGGTATTCGGTAATGCGATATATCATCATTCATTCAATTGATTCGTTCGAACGGCTGAATCATTCAGGAATGAAGCAAGTGTCTCTCTTTATGAACTGACGGAAATCCGTCGTAGCGACGGAACTTTAATCCCTGCACCCATTTCTGTGTTTTTTATTTTTTATTATCATTATTAGTGATGTTGAAATTCGAAAATGAATGGCTCTTCTGAACTGGTTTTTGATAGTGAATCGATTGAAATTACTTAAAAATTACTCACTCAATTGAATCGGTTTGTCTGTTTCTCCACTTTTCGCTCCTTCAATGATGTTCATACAACACCGTCCGTACTATTACTGGCTTAGCTCGCTAGTTTTATTAGATTTATTGAAATAAGCAAAAAAAAAAAGTTTCCAAATAAAATATGCATATATCCAGGTCTCGAATTGAGGATGGGATCCCCCTTTAAAAAAAATAAATAAATAAAAAACACCAAAAGCATCTAATCTGTCAAATCTGCCTTACCATCCCCTTTAGATTAGTATGCTATGTATTATGTAGGCCTAAAACTTGTCCTACAAATGAAATATTAATCTTCTCTATAATGATAATTAATAAACTAAATAACAGCGATTGGCCAATCAGAACTCAATATTAAGGAGCTGCGCACAAGCTCTCGCCTGTTTTCATCATTTTTCTCGCAAAAGTGCAACAGTCGAGTTTTAATTATTAAATTATTTAAAATTATTATTATTAAAATACAAATTTTAAAGCAATATTTAAATTCTTTAATAATTTATTATCAAAATTAATACCAACTTTAATGCAATATTTAAATTTAAATCATTATTAAAATAATAATTAATATTTATCAGAATTAATGTTTTGTCGTTTGCCCTGTGAACATGATTACAATTATTGTTAAAATAATTTATTGTTTATCAGAATTAATACACATTTTAATTCAATATTTAGGTATTTAAAAATGTTTTAAAATATTAATTTAATATTTATCTAAATGTTTTTTGTGGTATGTACTGTGAGCATTAATATTTAATTATTACAATAATTTATTATTTACTAGAATTAATACACATTTTATTGCAATGTTTAAAATATTATTAAAATGGTAATTTAATATTTATCAGACTTAATGTTTTGCTGTTTGTCCTGTGAACATTTATATTTTAAATATTTTAAATATTAAAATAATAATTTAATATTTATCAGACTTAATGTTTTGTTGTTCGGAATGAGACCTTGCTTGCCATTCATTTCAATAAAATATCAAATGTTTTCAAATGAAATATGTTTATTGTATCACAAACTTCACCTACTGCCTCAAATGAATCATTTCTCAGGTTTATGTGCAATCATGAACAGGTTTCTGGGAGACTAGTTAGATTATTTCAGTTCGAAACTGTGCAACGAGACCATAAGAGGTTAACCATAAGACCATAAGAGGAGTCATCGACAGGTTTTATGGCAGAAACTGGCCTCAATGTGAGAGAAACACACCCTGATCATAAAAACGGAGCTGATAAGAGGGTCTAAAGGACTCGAGCTGAGCTAGTCGAGCAGAACGAGCCGCTGCTGGAGCTTCACTGGAATAAACCCAGTCCAATCTGAAAACCCCCACCATGAGGAGATCCACACTCTTTCTGCTGCTTCTGGGGTTCGGAGGCGCTTCTGCTTCATCAGTGGGTGAGTTATTATACATGCTTTCTTTACAGGACGTGTCTGGATAATATTGATAATCATTCTAATAGACATCCCTGTCGCCTTTAATAATGTATGCACTGCAATTCAAAAGTTTGGACACACATTCATTCTTAATTATGGCAGAAAAATAGCTACAGTTTATTGTAAAGTAATGCATTTGATCTATTTGCAAATCATTTTATTTTGATAGCTTACATGACTGTTCTACGACTACCTAACACACTTGTTAAAGCTACACGTTTGATCATAATCTGTGTTTGAGGATATTTGTGAACTCACTGAAAGGCCATCAGGGAAGTGAAACCAAGTTCATTAAATTCATTCACAATATGCACACATTTATTTTTAATCTTATGCCTAATGTGCTGCAAAATGGCTCTGATTGAGCTGTTTGCATATTACTTTTTAATTATTGTTTTTAATATTTAAATATTGTAATTATTAAAATGTTAAAAAAATAAACTTTATTGTCAAGCACACAACACATTTTTAAATGTTTAAATTATTATTACAATAATAATATTTTTTACAAAATAAAATCAACCTTATTGTCGAACAGAACATATATTTAAATTATTATTAAAATAAAAATTATTTATTTTAAAAAATAAAATCAACTTTATTGTCAAATACAGAGCAAACATTTAAATTATTATTAAATTAACTATTAGTTGTTTTTAAAACATTGTCAAATACAGAACAAATATTGAAATAGTTATCATTAAAATAATCTTTAAAAAATCAACTTTATCATCAAATACAGAATAAATATTCAAATAATTATTAAAGCAGCTTTATTGTCAAACACGGAACAAATATTTCAATATTTAAATTATTATTAAATACAAATGTATTTAAAAAAAATAAAATGAACTTTGTCAAATGCAGAAAAAATATTTTAATTATTATTAAAATAATACAAATGTATTTGAAAAAAAATGAAATCAACTTTACTGTCAAATGCAAAAAAAATTTTTTATATATTTTATAAATTATTATTAAAATAATAGCGCATTTAAGCAGAAACCTTTAGAAATTAAAAACATTTTCGGTGTGTCCAAATGCTTTGACGAAGTTAATGAGATAATAATGAGTCATTTGTCTTTTTCAGGCCCACGGTGCACAGAGCCCAGGGATGAAGGAGAAGGAAAAGCCAAGCTGTTGAAATATTTCTATGATCCTCAGTTACACAACTGTGTTCCGTTCTTCTATAAAGGCGGAGGCGGCAACAGCAACCGCTTCAACAGCGATAAAGACTGTGTGAAAGCATGTTTACCCAAAGCAGACGAGATCTACCCGGATGAGGGTAAGTTAACTAGTAAATACTGCATTTGTTGATTTGACATGAGTGGTTGATGCTTCATGCTTTTTCCTTCGTGTCCCTCAGATAAAGTCTGTTCTCTGCCAAAGGACCAAGGTGCCTGTTTCGCCATCATTCCCATGTATTATTACGACAATGAAGAGAAAATCTGCCGCATGTTCTTATATGGAGGCTGCCGAGGAAACGGCAACCGTTTTGATTCCCGAGAGGATTGCCAGAACATGTGTCTCGGTCAGTTCAAGTCTCATTTCGCCATCTTTAATCAGTATAATGTTAATAACATGAAACTAAACAGTTAAGATTTCCACTCAACTCTGGAAAAAAGGTACAATGGTGTCTCTGTTGCGGTATCCTATAAGGTGCGAAAGCTAAAAGGTACACCTAATTTTCCTTCATACACTCTTAAAAATAAAGAACCTCCTAAAAAAAAGTCTTCACAGCGATGCCACAGAAGAACCATTTTTGGTTCCACTAAGAAGCATTCAGTCAAAGGTTCTTTAAAGAACCATCTCTTTCTTACCTCTTTATAATTTTAAGAACCTTCTTTTGCCACTAAGAAGCTTTTGTGAAACAGAAATGTTAAAGGTTCTTTATGGAAAATTTAGACAAAAAAGGTTCTTCTATGGCATCGTGAAGCACCTTTATTTTTAAGAGTGTATTAGTACCAGGTGGCAACCTCCCGCTCTCTCTCCTGACGCCAACACGGAAGTGACTTAAACTGTAATTCATCGACTGCCACCGTCGAGCTAGGTGGGCGTGGCTTCACCAACCAGCTCCAACTATCCGGGAGTGACGCGCGGTGACGCGCTGCCAAGATGGCAACGGCCGGCTCCGCCCACTTTTGAGCTTCAAAAATGCTCTTCGGAAATCTACGGGTGACGTCTCCGGACACTACGTCCATGTTTTTATACAGTCTATGATTAGTACCTTAAAAATCACATATTAGTTCTTTAAAAGTACATATTAGTACCTAAAACGTACAGAATAGTACCATTTTTGAACCATATACCATAGTACCATATATTTTGAAAGAGTAACGTCCCAGTTTTATGTAGGCCTACCTTTTTTTCTGACAGTGTACATGGGTTAATAATCAAACCCTCAGTTTCACTGGAAGTTTATTAGTTGTTGGCGTCTTTACAACAGTTTAAACTTCGGATATATAAAGAGAGGGGGTTTTCTTTGAAGATGGCAAACAGTTGGTGGTTGTAAGTTGTTGTTCTGTAAGTTCCCACATCGACTGATGCAAGTAAATGAAACCGATAAAGCCTCGTTTTAAATGTTAAATAAACACAGTACCACAAAGAAGAAGAGGATGTCCTAAACATTACTGCTATAAAAATTAGGCAGTAAATTGGGGCTTTTTTGAGTCAACCAATTGTGAAAATAATGACTTGGAGTATCTATAAGGAGCTTGGGATACACTACAGTTCAAATGATCGATTTGATTTGATTTTTAAAGAAATGATACATTGTTACACAAGGACACATTAAATTGATTAAAAGTGACAGTAAAGACATTTACAATGTCGCAAAAGATTTCTATTTCAAATAAATGCTGTTTTTTTAAACTTTCTATTCTTTAAAGAATACTGAAAAATAGGGTTTCCCCAAAAATATCAACTGTTTTCAACATTGTGATAATAATCTGAAATGTGTCTTGAGCAGCAAATCAGCATAATAGAATGATTTCTGAAGAATCATGTGACACTGAAGACTGATGCTGAAAATTCAGCTTTGATCACAAGAATAAATTATATTTTACAATATATTCACATAGAAAACAACTATTTTGAATGGTAAAAATATAAGATGATTTCTTTTAGGTTTTTCATCATTTCCTACAATGTTCAGCAGCATGTTCAGTGTGTGTTCGTGTATTGTCCACTAGAGGTCCGTCTGTTCTGACTGTGTGAATGTGTTTTTACAGCACGGTCCGGAAGGCTTTTGGAAGCTGCAGACCTGCCAAACCCTGATGAGAAGACTGTTGATGCAGGTAAACTCACTAACTATTTATATTTTCATATTTTAATTGTTGCTACTGTTGTGGTTTGTGCTAAAAGCTCTGCTGATGCTTGAGCTGCACGTTTCATCGTTCGTCATTGCATCAGTGCATTAAAAAGCCTTTATTCAAGAGTCCATAAACATGTTTTCATAATGCCTTTTTTCCTCTCTCAGGGCTGATTGTGGGGGTTTTGGGTGGGATTGTGTTTGCTGGTGCTGTCATTTCTGCGATTGTGGTGTTTGTGCTCCAAAAGTAAGTATCAAGTGATGAAATTTTGACAGCAAAATGCCCATTTACAGTCATTTCCCCCTGTTTAAACTTGATCTTTGTGAGAAAGTATCTAAAATGTTTCTTTTCACTCATAGGAAAAGCAAGAAAGCAGAACGAAAGCCAGTGCCGACATCTGATATCGAAATGAAATAGATCTTTGTTCACAACATTTGTCTGTACATATGTCGTTAGTGCTTTTGTACCGTTTATACAAGTCCCGTTTGAACCGTAATAGAACAATTGGGTTTAAATGATGCATATTATTAATGACTTGTGATAATGTTTGGTTTGAATAGAAAGGTTCAACAATGTAAAGCAGTTAAATACTAAAAGCAATCCTGTTTGGTTTTATATATCATGGCAGATATCTGATGTTTGAGTTTCACACCTGATCAAATGTACTGTACTTATTAAGATGATGTAACAAATAAATCATAACTTTTCTGTTTTATTTTGCTTTTTAACAAGAGATTGTATTAATACAATAAATCAAGACCAAAAATAATAAAGACCAAAAAAAAGTTACTGTTTTTGCTTTTTTTGTTGTTTTTAATATTTAATATATAATATTCTAAATTTTTATATATAATATATTATATTAAATATATAATAATATTATTGTAGGCAATTAAAGAAATTGCATTGATTAAAATATAATTTAAGCCTGTTTATTTCTAATGGTCACATGTGAAGGCCTGTGACGTCAAACATTCATTGATTAGGTCATGAAGGAAGTGTCTAATTTACTCCAATGAGGTGCCAATCACATGACCAGCATATGATGTCATCCCAACCCATGATGACCTGTTTCCATTAAATACACCACAGCTTATAAGAATCATTAACCGGTACTGCATAACTACTAGTGTAACTGGTCCATAATGTCCGCCATGTAATAGTGATGTGTGGATAAAATGCCAAAGATTACAAATTCTCCCACTGAAAAAAAACAGCATTAATCTGAATGCATGGTGGTTACAGATTCACTTCAAAACTGTTTTGCATTGAAGTAGTAGCATTGAGCAGTGTTTTTTGTTGTGTATATTATGCCATATATTAGTAATATACTATTATAGCTTTTAATTTTTTTTGTACATTAGTTTTCTTTTTTTTTTTTTTTGTAATTTTGTTATTTATGTGTACTAGTTGTTTATAGAAAAAATATTTCTATACAGCTTCAATGTATTTTTTTTTTTTCAGTTTTAGTAGTTTAAGTACCTAATTTTCCATGTTCCATGTTCCCTTATGAAAATTAGTTTTACTACGAATAAAAAAAATAATAAAATTAAAAAAAACATGGTTCCATGGTTTTGTTACTTCAAATAATAATTAACAAAGAAGTATTCAGCCTAATATTTTTTTGTGGTGATAAAAACAGACCTAACAGCCTTTAAAATGACTTAAAATGCATTATATAAAAACAATGAGGCAATAATGATTGGTTAATTAATAATAATCATATGGTTTCATTGAATAACACTGTTACATAATGTAATACAAAATAAATAAACAATTTACAAATGCCTGCAAAGGGTGCCAAAGGCCTGGTAATCGCTGTTGTTACACTTACAGGACGATCAAATCCTTGTTTAATATTGACCAAACATTTAATTCAAATATCCACTTAATTTGGCCACCTTTTTGCGATAGAATTGCTACAGCCTCTATAATTTCTTCAACAAAAACATATGGACATCACAACCCTTACAAAAATTAACATGTTTTTTTTTTTTTATCTAATAACTGTTTATTTAGAAGTGCACACAGTAATTCTTCAGTGCACTGTAAAAAATGAGTGTAATTTTAACTGTAAAATTTTGTAAAAACGCTACGGAAAAAAACTGTTAATAGGTTAACAGTAAGGTCCCGTACTATATACAGGGAAAAACTGTAAAATATCTAACCAGACATTTAATGTAATTTTACAGTAAAATGCTGTTAATTTTACAGTTTTTAGAAGTAAAAATAACAAATAAACAAAAAACCTGTAAACTGATATTCCCAGAATTCCCTGCATGACACTCCACATTTGAAAGTATTTTGTTTAAATAATCATGTTTTTTTAATAGTTTTTGTTATTAGTTATGTATATTTGGGCTTTATGTTACATCTTCTGTTGTTTAATGAAAGTTTAATGCATTATTTAAGTATCATGTGTGTTACCATGATGGTGTTTTGTGTTTGCATGAATAACTCTGTGCACCTTCTATATATTAGTATATACTTCTGCTTGTGGCGAAGCTACTTGTGATGAGCTTTGATTCTTCATGTGGCTTTCTCTTTTACCAACTGCATTATTATGGTGGTTGTCAGTATGTTAAAGGGACAAAACAGATTTTAATAGCAGTGTGAATTGTTGAATTTACTGGTTTACATTCAAATTTTCTTGTTTGTAAATTACAATTTTATACTGTAAAATTTATTTTTATACCGTAAATGTGTTTACAGTTTTTCTGTATTTTTTACAAAATTATTCTGGCAACCACAGCTGCCAAAATTATTTTGTAAAAACTACAGGATTTTTTTTACAGTGTGACTAATATCTTCTGCTTCATTTAATGCAGGGTCAATACTGAAATTTGTTACAAAAGAGGATGAAGCAGTTTTTGATTTTTGATTTAATTTATTATTGTTTATTTTGATAATATTTAATCTTTTAAAATGTTTTATTTAATATGTGTAATTTTAGTTTGATATTTTTTTTTGCTATAGAACTACAATAGTACTTTGTAAATAATAGTTTAATTACAATTTATTTATTTATTTACTTTTATATTTTATTAAAGTTCTATTTTGACCCCTATAGCAGGAGTTTTTTTGTTTTTTTTTTACTTCCATAATATTTGACAGAGGGGGCACAACAATACAATTCTGCTTAGGGCACCCATTTGGCCAGCAGCGGCCCTGGTCCTATCCTGACAAACCATACATCAATGGAAAGCTTATTTATTCAGCTTTCAGGTGATGTATAAATCTCAAAATTTACCCTTATGACTGGTTCTGTGGTCCAGGGTCACATATAAGTGATTAAACGGTGACAGAATTTTAATTTTGGGTGAACTATCACTTTAAAGGAACATTCCACTATTTTTGAAAATAGGCTCATTTTCCAACTCCCCTAGAGTTAAACAGTTGAGTTTTACCGTTTTCTAATCCATTCAGCCGATCTCCGGGTCTGGCGGTAGCACTTTTAGCTGTAGCTTAGCATAGATCATTGAATCTGATTAGACCGTTAGCATCTCGCTCAAAAATGACCAAAGAGTTTAGATATTTTTCCTATTTAAAACTTGACAATTCTGTAGTTATATCGTGTACTAAGAC